GCATCCTCCGAGGCTTTGCTCCCCGTCTCCCTGGTCTGCTGTCTGCTGGCTCTGTCAGCAGACCAGGGAGACAGGGAGCAGCTTTTCTCACCCTGGAGGAGGCGGGCAGCGGGACCAGGTGTCCCGCCGCTCCAGTCCTCCGGGGCGAGAAAATCCCCGTTCGAAACTGCGGATCTGACATAAGTCGGATCCGCGTAACTCAGGGACTGCCTGTATGTGATTTCAGATAACTGACAATAGTGCTTTGCTGCCATCTCACTTCACCTTACCTTGTCCCTCATCCAAGTCATTCCCAGGAGCTGTCCAAGACAAGTGAATTTTATCTTCTTCAGACTGAGCCTCGAGGTCAATAATTTTACAGGGTGGGAACACATCAGTAGTTCCTCCTGCAGGAATATTCTCCACAACAAAAGAACCTCCTGTTGCAACTCGGTTGAAACTTTCAAGTTTTGCTTGAATTTCATCATCACTAACTTCAGGTCTTGGTGGATTCATTTTGATTTCACCTGCTCAGAAGAAAAAAACCTGCTCGTTATTTGAACATTACAAAACCCCAAATAATAGCCCACTTTCTATGTATCTAGCATCCCCCCTCTCTTTAATCTACTTTTTATTTTAGCTTATTCAAGCTTAGAGCAAAAATTAGCAAGGCTAAGAATGAAAACTAAGGGCACATGTACACAGCAGGGCTAAAGTCAAATTAAAATATGCAACTTCAGCTATGTCAATTGCGTCGCTTAAGTTGAAATAGCTTAGTTCGGCTTTTGGTGCTATCTATACTGCAAGAAGTCGAAGGAAAAACATGCTTCCTTCGACCTTCCCTTGCTCCTCATGAAACGAGGGTTACAGGGGCTGGAGTAAGAAGTTCTCCAGCTCGACATTATAATAATGCCGCAGCCCTCCCTTCCCCGGTGGCCAGTGAGAGAGCCGGGCTTGCCTACCGTCCCCCCTCCCTCGTGGTTGGGTCTGGCATGGCCCCTGGCCCTCCCTTCCCTGGCAGCTGTGCGGAGGTTGAGAGGCCAGGTCTGGTGCAGTCCCAGCCCTCCCCAGCATCCAGGGGGAGAGCCGGGCTTATCTAGCGACCGGCATGACTCTGGCGGCAAGAGAGGTGGGAGGCCAAGAGGCCAGGGCTGGGGCAAAAACTAGGCCTCCCCTCCCCAGCGGCTGAAGGGGAGACCTGAGAAGACAGGGCTGGGGCAGAGGCAGGGGCAAGGGAGAGAGACCAGGGCTGCCCACCCCCACAGACGGGGGTTGGTGAGCATAGCAAGCAAAGGGCCCTGTCCCCTAGTAAATCTATATTTTAATGATGAATTAATTGTATTTGTACTCTTAATTTCTCTGGGGCTTTTAAATAAAAATAGAAATTCAAAAATAATAGAAAAGGTGAAAAAATACTTAGGCCACATCTTCATTTCGCAGAAGATCGCTGCTGCTGTGATTGATCTTCCAGGGTTCAATTTAGTGAGTCTAATTAAGACTCACTAAATCAAACTCAGAGGGTTCCCTCCCCTCCGCCCCACCAGCATCTGTTATTCCTTCTCTTTCCAGGAGCAAGAGAAGCTGATAGAAGCACATGCTCCCATTGGCCTTCCACTGTGGGGACACATCGAAGTTCAGCTTAAGGTAAACCAACTCCAGCTACATATTTTACATAGCTGGAGTTGCATACCTTAAGATGAACTCCTGGATCCAGTGTAGGTGAGATTGAAGTCACAAACAGTATTCCCTCCAATCTTTTCCATCAATGTGCAGATTTTTCCATTCATGTGCAGAATAATTTTTATGTGCATTGAGGCATGTGCAAAAGTGTGCCACCCGTAGTAACTACAACAACAAAAAAACCTAACTGTAGGCTCTTTGCTAATGAGCTGGACAGCATTTGAATCTCTCCTGAGCAACTGCACAAATGCATAGCTTTCAGGGAACATTGGTCACAACGTATTCTTAATGACTCACTGCAAAGTATCATTAACTCAGGTGCCATTGAATGAGAAGACTTAAGCAGCAAGATCTTAATAGCAACATGCATACCTTTCGTTTCTAAAAATGATGATCTTTAGCACACACGTGCCTAATGGACAGAGTTCTGAAAAACGTGTCCAGAAAATCCAACAGAAGAACAGAAAAATTCTCATAAGGACTCATTCAGCTGATAACTTTAAACTTCATAACTTTGAAACTGATTCCCTGACACCTCATTTTAAAGTAAAATTTAAAAATTTCTAACTTCATCTGTTTTTAATATGATTTTCAGTTTCAGGGTCTTTGGCAACTCCTATGTTTTAATATATGTTATATATCCAGTGCTCAGATAAAGCCTGCTGTTTTCTAAATATATAAACAATAGTGGAAAAGATACATGTAAAAATTTTAAAGTTAAGCATTTTTATGAAGCTAAACGATCTTTCATTCACACATATTTTATATACATATGCACACACACATTTTCTACTTCACAAATGTTCCTTACCATTTTCTATGTAGCCTGGAACATACAAGGCTCGGCTCTGCTGGCGGCCAAGTCTGACAGTCTTATTTCTTCCCTGAACATGCACTTTTAAGTTGTATCTACCATTTCCATTGAAAGATGTAAAATACTTTGAATAGATTCCATCATTCTTGGTAATATCAGCACCTAGCCATACAAATATTAATAATTTACCATTCAACAAAGGCACCCTTTCTTAAGCCACAACATTTTTTGCTGGTCAGCTCACATACACGTAGGGACTACTCCTTCTGCTATTGAAATCAATAAAAGCTTTGATATAGACTTAAGTGAAAACAGGATCAGTCCCATTGTAATAAGCTCATAACATATTTAACAGAAGACAACAATATAGCATTAAAACATGTATCTGTATATTTACTATTGTTTCCAATGCTAATCTCTGGTTCAGTAGTTCTCAACTATGTCTTAATTCTCTGTAATGGTCTCATCTCTGGAGTCTTTCTTGGTGATCTGCAGACTAAAATACTTTGAGATTGACACAAGACTGGAATGTAGGCACAGTAGATTTGAAAAGGAGAATAATAGTATGTCATTCATACTTTTGAAGGATATCATTTTAATGTAGCTATGCTGCCTATCTAGCATGTGACAAGCAATAGAAACAGACATTCACTTTCCTGTTGTGCCTCTGGCATCTCCTCTGGAGGGCATACAAGTATGTAAAATAGATATATAAGTTCAAACAATGAATCAGACCCATAAGGCAATGGACCATCTTCTGTCCCTGTGCTTGGTACCTGCATCCTTGGTAACAGCACATGAAAGGATGAAGACTCTGCATAGCCACTACACACTAGGGATGTTAAATATCGAGTAACTGACTAATTGAATAGTCAAAGCATTTTGAATTGACTATTTGATTAGTTGATAGCGTGCCTCCGCCTTTGAAGTGTAGCAACAGTCTAGGGCGAAAGGCAAAAGGCGAAAGTGCTGCGTGGAGCCCCTGGGTCGGCTGGGGACTTCCCCACTGACCCTGGGCTCTGTGCAGCATTGGAACGCCATGGGAATCATTTGGAACGCCATGCGAATCTGACATCAGGCTCCTTGAAACGTTTCAAGCAGCAGCACCGCATGGAACCCAGAATCAGCTGGGAACTCTAGTCTATAACAACATCCCTCTCCCACAGGGTAGCATGTCCTAATAGCCAAAATCTATAACCACATGTGTATGTCCCCTCATGGGGTTCATGGAGAATGGGGTAGGGGAACCTGGGCCCACCTGCTCCACCAATTTCTAGCCTAGGGCCCTGTCAGTGGTGGAATGATCTCCACTAACTCAGCCAGGAATCCTACTGTAACACTCCAAGCTCCCGGGTATCAATTCCCTACCCTGGGCTACTTCCAATCAGTGTCCTTTGGATAGTCCTCTCTGTCTTTCCCCTCCAGACTGCATGCCTTGTCTGAAGTCTCCCTCTGGCTGGTCTCTGTGGCTTGATTCACTGGCAGTTTCTCTCTAGGAGCTACACCAGCACTTTCTTCCCTGGCGGCAGTCAATTCTGACTGAGCAGCTACATAGGCCTTTATAACTGGCCTCCAGCTGGAGCAAGCTCAGTAGAACTGTGGGGGCGGGGCCTCCTCAGCCAGGTGAGCCTGGTTAACTCGCTCAGCCCCCGTGTGGGGTTGATACATCCCATCACACCATGGCATAGTCATGTCTGAACCTGTAGTGATAAGCTTTCAAGCAGCGTGCAGAGAGATTCTACAATACAGATAACAAAGTGGGGAATGTACAAATTTCTAGACAAAATGTTAGGAAAGTAATTGTAAGACTACCTGAACCATCATCAAGGAGTTGCAGATTTTTTGCTGATCCATTTTTAGGTTCAATAGTGGCCATCACGGTTGCACCAAGAACAGGCAAAAAGCCTTGACTAATTTCTGCATAAATCACCATTGGACTAGGGTAGCTGTTTGTATCCGTATTCATGTAGGCTTTCACAGTCACTGGGGGCACAGACAAAGATGCTGCTCGAGATGTTACTATCATTGATATGACTTGAGAAACTATGTGGTTATTTTGAATCCAATAATGCCAATCCCCTGCCTGCAAATCAAACATATGGAGCATAAATATATAATGTAAGGCTTTATTATTCTCAGGGCACTCAATGTTCCCTGAGTTCATTATTATCTTAGTTCAGGGGAGATGTCCTAAAGTAAAAAGGCCAGTTAGGATATTGCTACAGGACCATGGTTAACATAATCTGGGTACCTTACTCATGATTCTCCCTGCTCCCAAATGTTTAGTTCTTTTAAATGTAACCTTATACCTAAATTTGCTCAGTTTTAGTGGTGGATGTTTGAGAATTATTGCAATCTTGGGAATATTGGAACCGGTATTTTATTGATATGCACGCTAAACTGTAACATTATCTGAATTCAATTTTGTCTGGGAATTTTGTATAGTGCATAACAAAATAAAATAAAATAAAACAAAACAGGAGGAGCACAAGTGACAGTTAGCCACTCCTATTTCCATGGCAAGTAAATGGAGTTATACCAAGGATAAAATTGGATTTATGTTTATAACTTCTAAAAAGAGAAGGGGCATTTTAGTCTATGAAAATATGGACGTATTTGGATAATAAAAGAAACTGGAAGCTTTACCTCTGCAGTGCCTGGTATATTCAGTCGTGTGGTTTTAAGGTTTAGACTACTAATTACGAAGCTGGATGTTCTATATTCTTTTCCTTTTGGGTCTCTCAGTAAAATGTCTGGTGGAGACGTGCTTTGATCCCATGTAACTACAAAGAAAGTGTCATTGCCCACAGTGCTATCAATAGTCACTGTTCCATTCATCCACTGCTTGTCTGGAATTCTCAGAGCGGTGCTTTCAAGCTGTTAGACAAATAAAATGTTTTATGGCTAGATAGCAGATAAACACTTAAAATATCAGTAATGAGAGGGTACGTCTAGACTGTAGAGTTTTCCTGTGCCATGTCCCAGGAATGCATCTGCTCTTCCACAATTTTTTTTGGGAAATTCAGATATGTTTTTTTAGCATCCCTGTAAGCCTCGTTCTGGGAGAAAGAAAGGATGCTCCAAAAGAGGCTTTTTTCCCAACATTTGGCCCAGTGTAAATGGGCCAATTGTCAGGAAAGCCACTTTCGGAAGAAAAGCAGAAAAAGATATGCAAATTGGTTTGCAATTTTCGTATCTTTTTCCAATAGAACTTTGTAGTCTAGATACAGCCTACGTGTGGTTCATTTTCCTCTGAAAGGAGTAAACAAATCAATACTTTGCCTATTCAGAGGACACCTTGACGGGTGGTGGCCTATTGCTGGAAGACGGGACATAGGAGTATTAACGCTGTAACAGGCCTGTTGATATCACCATGAACCAATTTCTGCTGGTCTGAGCAGAGCTGAGAGTTGTGCAAAGGAAGCAGAAGCCTTCTGCCATTATGTGCCTCCACATATGGGAAAGTAGCAGGAGGACGCGAGCCACTTGGACTAGCCTCTAAAGGGAGAGGAATGATGAAGCCCTCAGCACATTTCCTATAATGCCCATTTGCAGAGTACTATTGCTTAAGAAAGTGAAAATACAGTAACCAAGAATTTCCTTCTGCTTCTATATGTAGTCTACGAACCTAGCTATCAACTTACTTCTGTGCAAGAGATTTGTGCTACATTTCCACTCCAACTGTAAGGTTGCTTCAAGAAAGACAGCACAATGAGAAAGGTATAAAACCACAGGCAGGGACAACAGAAAAGTAATGAGAGACACAGAAATAGTAAAAGCAACAGGGAGACTCACAGCAAAGAAAGAAACACGATTTCCTTTAGCAGCATTGGTATTGCACATATGGATCACCAGAATTTACAGATAAACTACCAATATGAATTTTACAGTGACCTGCTGGATAACAAGGCTGTAAATAGACTTGCTCTCTTCTGTTTTATGGATTAGCAAAACTACAATTAGAAAAGTACTTTTTAATTAAATAACTTTCTATTTAGGATAAAAATGGATAGAGCCCTACAAATGCGCAGATATCCACTTTATATCCATGAAGCAAGTAAGATGCCTCTCTACCCTGCCCCCAACCAGGATGGGAGGTGAACTCTGCAGATGCACCTCTGAACTGCCCTGACCAATGACTGCAACTGAATAGGGTGCAGAGAAGGGTCAGGCATGTAAGGGGACTTTTGAGTTGCTGGACTTAAGTACCTAAGGAGAAAAGGTCTTTGCCCCACCCATTGGTGAGGGCCTTTTACTCATGGCTTATTTTTATGAACCCTGTTTGTGGTATTTCCCCAAATAAATTCTGAGTTACTTCCTTCCTTATATTAAAAGTTTCTTTTCTACACTCAGATGCTGTGCTTGCAAGTGGGGAACTTTTGCCTCTCGGAAATGCCCAGAGGTGGTGTGTGTATTTCCCACATTACTGGGTGGTGGCTTGAGCTGGTTCTGTGTTGGATGGATAGAGAGGAATCCCTAGATATTGAACCTGGCAAAATCATGGAAGGGATCCTTAAGGAATCCATTTTGAGGCACTTGGAAGAGGGGAAAGTGATCAGGAATAGTCAGCATGGATTCATGAAGGGCAAGTTGTGCCTGAACAATCTGATTAGCTTTTATGATGACGTAACAGGCTCTGTAGACATGAGAAAGTCAGTGGATGTGATATACCTTGACTTTAGCAAGGCTTTTGATACGGTCTCCCACAATATTCTTGCTAACAAGTTAAGGGAATGTGGACTGGATAAATGGACGGTAAGATGGATAGAAAGATGGCTAGAAGGTCAGACTCAGCAAGTAGTGATCAATGGCTTGATGTCAGGATGGCGGTCGGTTTCTAGCGGAGTGCCCCAAGATTTGGTTCTAGGATCGGTTTTGTTCAATATCTTTATTAATGACCTGGATGAGGGGATGGAGTGCACCCTCAGCAAGTTTACAGATGACACTAAGCTAGGGGGAGAGGTAGATATGCTAGAGGGCAGAGATAGGGTCCAGAGTCAGGGCTGGACAAGATGGGCAGCTGCCTGGGGCGCCAACCGATGGGGGGTGTCTGATGGCAGCTGTAAGGGGCACATGACGCCCCTTAGAGCTGCCATCAGGCACCACGCACCCGGTTCCCGGTGGGCTGCAGTGGCTGCCCGGGGCGGGGGCCATGTTAACCCCCGCAGTGTCCTTCCCCCTGCGGCCGTGGGGCTCTCCATGAGGGCAGGCTCGCACATGCAACGTGTGCCTGGAAACAGGCCCATGCACCCTGTGGGGGCAGGCTCGCGCATGCGCCGTATGCCCGGGGCAGGCCCACGCATCCTGGGGGCAGGCCCGTGCATGTGTCGTGCGCTTGGAGTGGCACCGCCCGCCCAGGGCACCAAAATAGTTGGGGCTAGCCCTGTCCAGAGTGACTTAGACAAATTGGAGGACTGGGCCACAAGAAATCTGATGAGGTTCAACAAGGACAAGTGCAGAGTCCTGCAGTTGGGAGGGAAGAATCCCAAGCATTGTTACAGGCTGGGGACTGATTGGCTAAGTAGTAGTTCTGCAGAAAAGGACCTGGGGGTTACAGTGGATGAGAAGCTGGATATGAGTCAACAGTGTGCCCTTGTAGCCAAGAAGACTAACGGCATATTAGGTTGCATTAAGGGGAGCATTGCTAGCAGATCCAGAGATGTCATTATTCCCGTTTATTCGGCTCTGGTGAGGCCACATCTGGAGTATTGTGTCCAGTTCTGGGCCCCCCACTACAAAAAGGATGTGGACG